AAATAGCAAAGTTATAATTAAACAATAGAAAGTGTGACACCATATAATACGGAAAGATGAACGATAAAAGGGTCGATTCACTTTGCAAATTACGTAGTAACTTATGTGTTTCACGCCTAACAGAGTCTTCGTCACATAAAGTACGGGCTAAATAGGGTATTGTAGAATCTCTGTACTTAGTGGTACGAGCATATAACTTTTTATATTGACTTCTTGTCCTACCTGATGAGATACAAGGGGATAGTTGTGAATAAAGGGGTGCAGAGGGTCTGACAGTACAGGCTTTGCCCATTTTGTACAGGAATTTATGTGTCTCTTGACGATAGTATTGGTAAAATACCTTTTGTACTCTATTGCTTTTTTTATTAGCAATATACACATTGTTCACATACTTTAGTTGTTGAACACGATAACAAAGGTCATTTATATTACGCAATTAAGTAGCATAATGAAAAAGATAAAATTATATTTAGGTAAGAGATGAGAAAATAGACTTGTAAAATCTCAGCGAAATTGAAGTGATTAATTGCAACGTTTTCGTTCGGCAATCTCGTCCGAACTTCTTCAGAGAAATTGATCGAAATTGACATAACAGAGGTTTATATGTAAAAGCAACATCTCTTGTTTTGAAACTTTGTCCAATCATGAGCCATGCAACAGACATCAACATGTATAATAAATAAAATTGTATGTTTATATATAAAAGTACATCTCTTGTTTTAAATTGTTTGTCTTGTCATGTGAAACAAGAAACAGCAATCAATAGGTATAATAAACAAAACAAAACAAAAGTGGTATGAACTGTGATCAAAATTTGACCTCAGACTTTCAAAATTAGTCTAGTTTTGTTAAAATATATGTATATATGCAGCATATACAGTTACAATGGTGTGTGTGTGGGGGGGGGGGTGAACAGTCATAAAACATTCGTTATTCCCATATGAGCTGTGATCGAGATTTGACCGGATAGTTGCAAAATAATTGAGATTTTTACAAATAAAATATAATTTTTATAAATTTGTTATTCTCTCCATAAGAAGACGCAAATTTGACCAAGTGTGACTAGTTGTTGATATATATCCAATTTTTATTTATTAGTCAGGATTTGCCATGCGGTAAGGAATCACCACTGTACTAACCCAATTCTGAGCAGCAGGTTTTGATTCATCCTTATCTTCACATTTTAAATATCTTTTTATGAAGGGTTCAGGACAATTATTTGATTCAAGAGTGGATTGAACCAATTTTAGTTCCTTGCTAATATCTTCCTCCTCAGTAACTAGATGTTTGGCTCTGTTGACCAGATTCTTCGATCCGTCAACAGACGTGAAGGTGTGATGTTAGCTGATGCACGGCAAATCCTAACTAATAAATAAAAATTGGATATATATCAACAACTAGTCACACTTGGTCAAATTTGCGATTGTCTACGTCTTCTTATGGAGAGAATAACAAATTTATAAAAATTATATTTTATTTGTAAAAACTCAATTATTTTGTAACTATCCGGTCAAATCTTGATCACAGTTCATATGGGAATAACAAATGTTTTATGACTGTTCATCTACACATACACATCATTGTATACTGCATATACACATATATTTTAACAAAAGTAGACTATTTTCTATAGTTTGGTTTGTTATGTTTTTACGAGTTGATCACGGATATCAGTTGGAGAACCATTGAAAACCAGGGAGTACTGGACAGCTGCTGTTTCATCCTAATTTCGGAGTCGTCGGAAGTACACACCAACTGCCAGGGATAGAACCCGGGACCCTCCGGTTACAAGGCAAGCTAGCTCGTATACCATTCAGCCACTGGGACCCGATTCAATGGCCAGTTCACGAATTCTAACTTCTACCAATTCATGATTTAGCGCGACCCCAACCATTGTCGTTGGTGAGACATCCATCCACACACGTGACATCTAATTGGACCTCACTGGTCACGACTTCTCACTAGAACTCAGGGAACTCCAACCTGTAGCAAGTCACTAGCGAGCATCAGATTAATTTTCTATAGTTTGGTTTGTAAGGGTTAGATATGTTTTTACGAGTTGATCATGGATTGATGATGATGATTCCCAAACTAGGATGAAACAGCAGCTGTTCAGTACTCCCTGGTCGATTTTCAATGGTTCTCTATCTGATATCAATTCGTGATCAACTCGTAAAAACATATCTAACCCTTACAAACCAAACTATAGAAAATTTTATAAATGCCTACTTCTCACTCAGTGCTCAATTATTTTGCAACTATTTGGTGAAATCTTGATCACAGTTCATACGAAAATGATCAAAGTACTTATTAATCTTGTTAGTATGAGTTAAAATAATCACATAGTTATTCAAAAATTATGAATGGAAGTCGTAGATTAAATAGTGGTACAAAATTGATAACACAGGTAACTTAAAAAGGTTAAATAAATTAGTTGAGTAGAGGTCAGCAGATAGTCATTTCAAAAGTGTAGGTAAATTGCTTTTAGTGTGTATGCAACTGAAAATAACCAACGAAATAAAATGATATCACGTCATATCATATTATCCTGCTCAGTGTGTTTTCCCTGCTTCATCCATGCCATTGTTCTACGAACAAAAAGAAGCTATGATCGCTGTTCAAAAACCGTAATCTAAGGAACAGCAGCGATTTATTGACTAATAACTAGTTTACTTGTTCAAAGTCTATTTCCTTACAAAGTGCTGATAATTTTAAGATGAAAAATAAGCTTCAATAAGTGTTTATACAGAGGAGAAAACATATTTTTTAATTACTCATAAAATTGTGCAATCCTTCCGGATTTTCAACTCCAATGTGAAATCAGTGCTACTTTACGGATCAGAGACTTGGCGCGTCATAAAGACCTTCATTAACAGTTGTCTTCGCTCAATACTCAAGATCAGATGGCCGGCCAGAAAAGATCAGGAACAGGGATCTCTGGCAACGAGCGAACTAACCAGCCAGGAACCGATTGTGAAACAAATAGGGAGGAAGAAATGGAGATGGATTGGCTGGCCACACGCTGAGGAAACCATCAAGTGACATCCCTAGACAAGACATTGCTCGAGTGGAACCCGAAAGGGAAGCGGGCGGCGAGTTGGTCGTCAGTGCCAGGGTGACTTGGAGGAGGTCATGTGAAGAGGAGATAAAAGCGTGTGGGCAGACCTGGGTCGGGGTGAAAAAGTTGGCAGAAAACCGAAGGCAATGGAGACGCACAGTTGAAGTTCTATGTTCCTCTAAGAATTAAAGGATATAATAATAGTAATAATAATTCCTACCGTTGAATAGTTTCATTACTTTCAAACTTGGTCACAAACCGGCCTCACTTAGAAAACAAGGTAGTAGTAAACAACAGTCTGTGAATTCAAACTTCTACCAATGCGTGATTTTAGCACGACTACCAGTGAATGTTGTCAGCGCCAGTATTTATCCTCACTCCAGACAGGATGGACCCCACTGGTTACGCCCCTTCTCACTAGAACTCCAGGAAACTCCATCCTCCAGTCAGTTACTAAAAACTATTAACTCACTTCTAAAGGTCCCCACATTCATATTTTCTTACACAAAAAGTTATAAATCTCCTAATTAACAAAATTTTTGGATAACTATAACCTCTATGGTCATAAAATAGATTCGCTATTTTGTTATCATGATGTAACAAGGTCCAAGTGATTGGACCAATTAAAAAAGTGGTTAAAACAGTTGATTCAATCAGCATTCCATCCAATTTTCTCCCCCTAAGGAACTTAAACAAAGTAATAACAACAAACTGAACAGGATAATATGATACGATATAATTTGGTTTCATTGGTTCTTTTCAACCGTATACAACCTGAAACAGTTTTAATACCAATGTAGAAAATATTCACATAATTTAGTTAACAGACATGAAGATGAAGACCATTAATACAAAGTAATTGAACAGTAATTGGAGAAGACAAAGGAAGTCATTAAGCTATTTGTCATATGTAGAAACAACCACAAGAATATTCTACAGTTAAGAGAGAGGAAGTTTCAAACTAATTAGAAGTGTTGTAAAGTTGTAAACACAAGTTACTCAAAGGTTGACTAATTTAGCTGAACATAAGTCAGCTTAACAGCATAGATAAAGATGTAATTTTCTAAATCTCTTTGCATTCCGAGTGGAATATATGGCTTCATTCTTGAGCTTGAAGTTTCATTGGCGGTATTGCTGTCCATTTACAGGATGGAGATGGTAGTTAGCCTCTTGCCCAAGCTTCCCTCTTTACCAGGCTTACTATCGGATAAGGGACTTTTAAGAATGTCCCAACTGGGAATCTAACACCCGACTACATGGGTGGTTGGTAAGCATCCTGCTACTACTGCATCACCAACCCACAAACACGAAATTAGAGGTTTAAATTTACACATAATTAAGATAATAAAAATAAAAACAGCGTAAAGTATATGTTCATCATAGTAGGATGAGATTAACAATAGTTTGTTTCCCAATGAATAAGTTCCGTTTTAACCGTTTAATGACTACAGAGCTTCAGCGATATTTAGTAGGCTGAAGCTAATTTGAACTTTGTTTATCTTAAATGGTTTTAAAACACCAATTTCATAACCATTATTGATCAAGTTTCCAGAGTCTACACTAATGAAGACTTTCGTGCATTTCAGCAGTGAAAAAGGCATGATAAAGAATGAGTGCAATTGTCCCGCTATCATTGGCATTTAACCACCAAAGTAGGTTTCCAAATAATGATTTCTAGCCTTTCCTGGATGACAGTTGGAAACCCTTTAGTGTGCATTTTTGAGCTTAGTTTATTTCTTCGCATTCTGTTTTTAGGAGTCATACACCTTTTAAACACATTTTTCTCTCTGCAATTATATTTTCTGGAATTTGTTAGCAAATATAAAAGTAATGGTATATAATACAGACATACGGGAAGAATATGTTAAAAAATATGTCAGTTAACATTCCAAATAAAAAAAATGTCATGTTGATATTCATTTTACAATTTGTTTAAACTCACAAGTAATTGTGGGAAAACAAGTCCAACAACAATATTACAGAGCCAATTTGTGCCAACAGCTACACTTGATGCAGTGTCTCTGTGTTCTTGAGTAAACAATTCAGCCACAATAAACCAAGGGATTGAACCTGTAAAGTTGACAAGACCATTTAAATGTATTAGCTATTTATAAAGCTTTTCGATAAAGAAAGGAAGACGAAATTTGCAGTATAAAATGATATCATTCTATTTCACAGGTTCTCATCAGCTGCAGACTACCTGAAATTACAATGGTTATATAGATGATAATAACATACTTTAATGTTCGAGTGGTGGTAGAAAAGAGATACTATAAAATTGACGCATCTAAATGAAAGCATTACAATGTTTTTAGTTTAAGTTTTCATCATCAATTTATACGCTTTTAAAGTTGAAAAGAGGGGGAGGGGTAAGACAGAAAACAGAAAAAATTGATTAACAGAACAGTGTTAGCTTTTAGGTTCACATAGCAACTCAAGAAACAAAAACGGTTACAGTTTATGAGATTAAGATTTGTTCAGTGAGTTGAGATCACTGAATTAGATGACTAATCAAAATCAAAATTCTGTTACCAAGGGAGTGAGAGGTTAATCACACTCTCTTTCTGTATGCATAAGTCTGGTTTAAGTCTTTTGATTGCGATTGCTTCGGCAAATCGTAGTAAATTTGCTGTCCTTTGTCTATTTAATATTTTGAAGGACTTAGAAATCTCTACGAGATGTCCGGTATCAATAATGTGTCTGGTAATTGCACTCTGGGAATATCTGCTTCCTTTCAGGCACAGGTTTTTGGGAATATGTTCAGAAAACCGGATAGAAGCCCTTCTTTCTGTCCTTCCAATGTACTTGCTCCCGCAAGTGCACGTGAATTCATAAACGCAGTTGGAGGTGACATCAGCAGGGTATTTATCCAGTTTTGAGTGGATTAAAGAAGGAGTGGTGCTGTATACTGTTATGAGTTTTGCTGCTGGGAAGCTTCTATTTATTGCACCTTTCAGTCTTTTGTCAATCTTTTGTGACACTGCATCTCCTTTGTATGGTAGACAGATAAACACTTTTTTCTTTTCTACAGTTGGATGCTTTTCTTTCTCATCTTTTTCTCTGCTGTACTTCTGAATAAATCCCTTAGGGTATCCATTTTCCCTTAGGCATTTCTCGACGAAAACTAATTCTTCTTCGACCCTGTTTGGTGAACATAGCTTCCTGGCTCTGTCATACAAAGTCCTCACTAATCCACGTTTATAGCTTATGGGACAAAAGCTGTTATAGTGAAGATATTGTCCAGTCCAGGTTTCTTTTCTATAGATGGACTTTTCGACCGTGCCTTCGTTTGTTCTTTTTACATTTAGATCCAGGAAATTGAACTCATTATTATGTTCATATTCCATGGTGAATTTGATATTTGGATGTATCTCATTTAGGCGATCATATAGTGCCGATGCGTGATCCATATCGTTGCAAACAACAAATGTGTCATCAACATATCGGCGATAGTAGGTAGTTCCATTGATAGCAGAACTTAGTTGTGTCTGCTCAAGGTAGCCCATGAAGATATCAGCCAGGATAGGTCCCAGAGGCGAACCCATCGCGACCCCATCGGTTTGTCGGTAAAGTTGATTGTTGAATTTGAATTGTATATCTTTTGTGCAGAGCAGTAGAAGTCGCTTCATCTCTGTTTCCGGTAATGGTAGTAGATCCGTTTGTTTACAAATTATATCAATTGTTTCCATCAGTGGTACATTTGTAAACAAGGAGGTCACGTCATACGATACCATGAGTTTGTCTGATATGTCGATATTGTCAACTTCCTTGGAAAATTGATAACTATCCTTCAGGCTGTGGGTTGCAAATTTAATTCGAATGGGCTCTATAGAATCAGCTAACCATCGAGCTAGCTTGTGGCATGGTGAGTCAATCATTGACAGGATTGGTCTTAATGGCACATTTGCTTTATGAATTTTTGGTAGGCCGTACATAGACGGCAGGCGTCCACCTTTTGACTTCAGTTTATTATATGTTTCGCTGTTGATTAGTTTCTTCATTAGAAGTTCTTTGAGACATTTATTAACTTTATTTTCAAATGACGTTGTGGCATCTTTTTTGTTGTCTACTTGGAATTTTTCTTTGTCGTTTAGAATTGTCATCATTTTATGTATATAATCAGCTTTGTTCATTATAACAACCCCAGAGCCTTTGTCAGGTCTAAATATGACGATTTCATCGTTTTCATATAGTTTCTTCAGAGCTATTCTATGCTCTTCGGTCAGCATCTTCTGCTTCTCCATTGGTGATATGTGGTATTGGTTAGCAATATCAACAAGTTTAGACTTTAGCCATCCTCTTTTATCTTCGTCTAAGGGCTTCAGGTCGTAGAGTTGATGGTATAAGTGCTCGAATTGTGCTTCTGTGTCTATACGACTGATGTGCTTCTTGGGGACGTGAAACTTGAATCCTAGAGATAAGGCTTCTAATTCGATTTTGTTTAATTGTAATTTTGATAGGTTACAAACGTAGCGTTCAGGTGCTTCTGGGAATTCTTCAATTAGCTTCTCTTTCACCAACGCTTTTGTCAGCTGAGTTTCATAATCCTCGGATGTTTTTGATTGTAGCTCTTTGATAAAGTTCATGAATTTAAGCCAGCAGATAATATTAAGCTCACTTAGTAGGGTATCATAGGTAGCCAGACGAGATTTCAATTCGGAGATATACTGGTATGACGATTCGATGTGAGATTTAGTTATTCGACGGAGATTCTTTTGAGAAGGTGGGAGTTTAGCGGATCGCACTTGTTTCAGGAACTGCCGTGGGAAACAACCAGTTTGCAAACACTGTTCATAGAACCTGATCTTTGTTGATTCTCTAGATATTCTGCATCGTATGGTCACCACCTGATTCAGTGACTTGATAGTTGGGGCAGGGAGGCGTCTTTTCAAAAAATTCATACATTTGGTTCCCTTGATAAAGCTTTTCAACGAAGGTGATGAGGACATGTATATTTGTAGGCATGCGTACATGCCAGAGTGGTGGCAACAACTATTTAGTGTCCTCCTGACACTGATATTTGATAGTTTTTATTTCACTGCTAAATTGACTGAATTATATGGCCCTTCATTCTCGGTGTGAATACTCCTACATCTTACATATATATTATTTACTTGTGTATTAGGAATCAATGAAGTCCCCCTAACCCATCGATGAAACCTTAAGGAGCGAATATCAACTTTTAGTGTAATACAGTTCGAAAAATACACATGACTTAACTGGTAGCTTACATTGACATGGAACAGAACATGAATGAAACGCATTGTTCACTAGACGATTTATCTACTGCTAAACGAAAAATCCAAAATACCTTCTTCAGCATAACTAAAATGTTTGAGCGACTGACATGACATTTGAGTGTTGGTTCGCAGGGGTTTCATTTGATTGGTTACAGGATTTCATCATGAGCTGACATTCTCTAGAGAACCATGGGAAAACTTGGGAGTACTAGACAGCTATTTCGTCCTAGTTTGGAACTCTCCAACGGTACTCACCCACCGGAGTTCGAACTCAAGACCTTCTGGTCACAAGACGCGCTCGCAGACCGTTAAGTCACTGGAGCCTGGTCCAGAAGGCCCTTGGTTCGGACCCCGGTGGATGCATACCGCCTAAGGCTCCCAAATTAGGACGAAATAGTTGTTCAACAGTCCCAATTTTTCCAGTGGTTCTCTAACCGATGTCAACTCATGACAAAGTCCTGTGACTAACATGATAGTTGTACAACTTAAATATTTCACCTCTGTCGTATTTTCCATTTAGAGACTTCATCCACCACTAAAGTTTCGGTCTTCTTTATTTTCACTGGGCATGTTTTATTGATATGAACAATACTCGACAGGAGTTAAAGAGAAAATTATACAATCATGACATTGTTTAAGATGAAATGCAACATTATTATAAGTTTACATTAATGTTAATTACCACTAAGATTACACTTATGTTTTAAGGATATAATTTAACTCAACTTCCAGAGAAGTGAGAATGACTTTTTTAAAAGTCAACGTATTTAATACGAATAAACTTTTAAAACTGGCTGTTTAATTACCTGGTCCAATAGAGAATCCCGAAACGAATAAATATATTATAAGAATAGCGATATACGTAAGCCAAAGTGTTCCTGTAAACTTCTGAATGGCAAGAACTGTCGTAAATGAAATCAGACTGAACAGACATATTGAAAAACCAATCAACAGAAGTACGCGTCTACCTCCTCGGTCAATAATAAATATTGATATAATAGTACCCAATAGAATAGTTGCTCCAACTCCGAGATTTACTAAAGTAGCATCTTTATTGCTAAGACCAATACTTTCAAACAATGGAACAGAATAATATAGAATCTAAAGTAATCAAAATGAAAATAAACATTTATAACTGAAGTTAAAAAACAGTAATTTACATTCTAAACTTATGATGCTTACTCGAATAAAAAAATTTAGATACATGAAAACTTCACTTGTTTAATCTATTTGAAATACCTACTGATATAATACCCACTTCATAAATGACGAAAACCATTTAAGCATAACAAAAATATAAATTGTCTTAATTCCAAACAACCTAATGAATTAAATAAAATCTAAAACAGTCCCTAGAACAAAAGAGACACTCATAGGCACTTAAAGGAGTTGCAACCTAAAACGTTTGCTATCTGGAGTAAATTAAGTGAATTACTTCTTTCTTAACATGTATTAATGACTGTCATAATGTGATTAACCTTCCTGAAGAGGACTCTTTTCATTTTGTAGCCGGATAAGTAACGGAAACGAAAAATACCCAAAATTATAATAATTAAGCTGAGGTAAGTAAAGTGTTTTTGCTATTATTTGCCTAGACTAGATGTTAAGAATTTCTAATGAGCCCGAGGTGATAGAGTTATGTTTTACATTTAAAAAGGGTCAAATCAAATACTATTCTTTTGTTTCATGTTTTTCAGATGAATGATATTTAATCAGCATCCTCAATTACATAATCACTGGAAGAATAACTACGTGAAGTGGTTGTCAGCAAACGTAATCATTCAGAATGGTATTTTTAATTACAACGAATGACAACAAACATTCAAACACCCTACAAAAGTCGATGATACCTAAAGCAGATGTCAGTAAAATGTTAAAGTTGTTGAGTAAAGGTTGCAACACCCAGTATGTTTGTATACCCTGAAGAATATGAAGCTAATACGTCAGTACTAGTCCATTCGTTGATTTTGTCACAGGAATTTCATAACGTTTTTTGAGTAACATTCAGAATGAAATTTACTAACAATTTCTGTATCACTGGAATGAATTTCAAAGACGAATTTCCTCTAAAGAATTGCTCCAGAAATAATAACAAATAACCATATAACAAATCTAAAAATGCTGTGCCTTAAAATTAAGACAAATTTCTAATAACATACAAAAAGGGACAGTTATTTGTTGTTCCCAAAACCTGTCCACTCACATGTCCTCGTATATCTTTTCAGTTAGAAAAAGTTGATTTTAGTAATTAAAAGGAAATACTTTGAATATTCCACATCATCAACCTCGCCGAGTTAAGGAATTCCGGAAGAGAGGGAAAATTTTCTGTGAGGCTAGTGAACATACCAACCAGAAACTTGGAAGCTTAACAAAAAATTAAAAGCTAAACTTAGTTTTTGCCAGAATCAGAAAAATGAAATGACACACCTGGTGAAAAGCTCCAGAAACCCAGTCACATGATGTGCCTTCTTACCGTGTAGAAAGAATAAGCATAGCAACATTAATGTCCACATGAAGTCCCAAGCCGAATGGGGGGGCTGCTCAGTTTGCAAATGAGGTGGAAAGATATGATGCAGAGGTGCTGAGAATCCGTGAGATCAAATAGAATAGAAGTGGAATCTGCAAATTGTTAACTACATGGTCAACAATCTACTCCAGTCACTCAGATGACAACCATGAGCACACTGAGGGAGTGAGTGGCTATCATGACGTCACAGACAACAGCCAAGGCTCTTGTGCAGGGAGAACCAATCTCCTCCCGCAAGATAATGTCAGCAAGATTCGTCTCCTAAGGTAAGAAATTTAAAATTATCCGATACTACATGCCCACAAACAACTCAGATCAAGAGAAGAAGTAAGAATTCTTCTTCCACCTTCGTTCAGTGCAGTAGATCAGAAAGAGAGAAAGGATAAGCAATGAGGAACTCTAGGAACGAACTAGTCAAGAACTTATTGCACAAGAAATGTTTTATTTTTTATTACAGCTTGATTCCACACTGTATTTTTGGTACATCTATGGAATTTTCAGCATGGATATCGGTAGCCCAAATTTTGCAGACCAACCATAGATATCAGGTGTTCGTCGGCAGGAGATCGAACCTCGGACGATGTGCATGGTCGGCGAGTGTCCTAACCACTGTGCCACCAACGCACTTTATGCTGGAGGAATCAAAGATGGAATGGACACACACTGAGAAGACCGTTGATTTACGTTGCACTGCAGGCAGGTCCTCGAGTCGAACCCGAATGGGGAGTAATGAGTTGAGCGTTCAAGTCTGACATGGTAGAGATTGTCGGGAGAGAAAATGGAAGTGATCGGAGAGTCTGCTGAAAAGACCGCTGAGAACAGGTTGAAACAGAGGTTTAATGCTGAAGCCATGTGATCCAATCGGAACCCAAGGGAATAATGCAACATCATTTATAGACATCATCATCATGATTATATTTGGTGGATAGTGGCTAGAAGTGCAATAGAGAAGGAGCATTTTGTCCTATTTAGAATTCGTCATCTGGATGTGCCTAAAATCCCCGATGAGTGATAATATTACCACTGTGACTCAAGCCGAACACCCATCATTTCAAACACCGAAGCATCATCTAGTAAGCGCATCCTGGATTCCGCGGCTAGTCATCATCCACAAAATAATATCATGTTAATCTTCAAACATCATAGAAGCGTCCATTCTAGGAGCTGACACGTCAGACACCACATATTTCCATCTAATACAATCAAGCAACGAGAAATACAAAATTAATTTAAACTAATCATCGCTATGATGTATGTAACTAAAGGTTCTAACAGAACAGTTGGAAATTTTTCGCCTATAAATTCTTATGTGCTTCCTGCATTGGGTTGTTGCATATGCATCAGAGAATATGCAGATGACATAGTCCTGTTAGGGGAGGATGCTGATAAAATGCAGAGTCTTCTGAACACCTTGAGCAGCAATCTTCGTATGTTTGGCATGCGATTCGCCCTGCAAAATGTAAGATGCTGCTACAGGACTGGACGACGTCAACCCCTAACTTAGTGATAGGGAGTGAAGTGATAGAACATGTTGACCACTTCACCTACTTGGGAAGTTGTATTAGCACCAACGGACTGATTGGCGATGAAATCTCAGCACGGATCCGAAAAGCTCGAGCTGCTTTCGCTGACTTACACCATCTCTGGCGTAGGCGTGACATCCGGTTATCAACCAAGGGACGTGTGTACTGCTCATCAGTTCGCTCCGTCCTTCTCTATGGCTCTGAAACATGGCCAATACGCGTTGAAGACATGAAAAGGTTGACTGCTTTCGATCATAGATGTCTGCGATCTCTGTCTCACGTTAGGTGGTTTCACAAGATAAGTAATGTTGACGTTAGGCGTAGAGTGTTGGGCAAAGAGGGAAAATCAATCGACGAGGTTATAAAGTTACATAGACTAAGATGGCTAGGTCACGTGGTGCGCATGCCTAACCACCGCCTCCCCCGACGGGCATTGTTAGCTGATATAGGTTCAGGTTGGAAAAGAGCCAGTGGTGGCCAAACAAAAACATGGCATCAATCCATGAAATCCTTGACAGTTAAACTGAGTCAGGTAGGGAGATGCAGACTCCCGGGTTGGGGCCCTCGGGACTCTAGGAATCAATGGCTGGAGACAATAGGTGACATGGCTCAAAATCGTTGTCAATGGCGCAGATGTATTCAATCTCTGTAATCTTTCATATTCCTTTCTACCATTACCCATTCTGTTTCACTCCTATATTTGTCAAACTCTATTAATTCTCTCCACTCATCTTCTTGTCTACCTCTGTGTGCTATTTGGAACGTGGCAACTCGAACTGCTGCACTTCGGTGCCAAGTTCTATGTTGAATCCAGACAGACAGACAGAGTTAAGAATGAGAAAAGTTTTCTCGCAACAAACACATGACATAAATATTTACTGATAAGATATTATATAAAACTAAACACTATTAGCTTGAGGACTTCATCCAGATTCTAAGTTTCTTGGTAATACAAATAACGAAACAATTTATGGAAACAGATAAATTGCACAGAATTCGGAAACACTTAGCTTGTAATGTATAATTATGAATACTTATTAATCTGACTGACTCATTTTCAGTATAAATGCATCAAGCACAAAAGCTACCCTTTAAAGATATAAAGTAACAATGGATGGTATTATCACTGACTAGAAACACAAACAACGGTGAATTTTACATGAAATGACACAAACGAAGTAATATATGAGACACTGTTCAGTATTTGATAGGTTCAACAAGTTACTAGCTGGCTAGTCGACGTAGAACCCTGTGCGAAAGTATACCAACTAAATTTATCACACTTCTAAAAAGAGTACACATTGAAGTAGAGAAAAAATGTAGTAGAATTACAGTGGACGAAGGTGTACAACAGAGAGAAAAATTAGAAGTAGACTAGTGAACAATTTTAGAGTCTGAATGATGAAAAGAAGTTAAAGCATCTCCCCCATTAATAACAATTTTGATTCCTACCAGTATCAATCTTCAACTATTGACTTTTTGCATCCCATGGACGCCAACAATGTAATCTATGCCTCCCGGTGTAGTCAAATCACTAGTTACCTACCTCATAGATTGATGTTATATTTCGTTGCGACCACCCTTAACACTTTTTAGCTTAACCACAGTGCAGCTGACATTATTGACTGTGGAAGTCAGTGCTCCGTATACATATCACATGCCTCCGCTACTTTAATCAATGTAAACCTTCTCCTCTGAATGTTTACTTAATTCCCTCAGGAGAATATTCACTTTCTCAAAGTTTGCTTCTCAGAGAATAGCTTTTTATCAACTCTAGGTTCACGAGATGTTATAAGATAATCAGCTTAAATAGAATTGCTTCTACTATTATGAGGATGAAAAAATACACATGGTGAACACCATAAATTGATAAATAGGTTTTCCTTGGTTAACATAAGGACTTTCTGCAGAGTCTTGAACAAAAGTAAGGAATGAAGTAAAATCTGCTCAAAGGTGAAATCTACAAACTCACAGCTTTTCTCACAAGAAAAACTCTCATAGGGTTCCCATAGTTATATAATCAAATTGTCTACCTTCTGCTAAGTGGATCTAATGGAGTCTGGACGGTATAAATGTACTTAACCCCTTTTCATGTTTACTTTTGACTCTCAAATAACATAAAAGTAAAATTTACACATGTGATTTTCACGAGGGGTTTATATACCGTTATCTAGGTGGCAGTAAACAGTTTTCAATACTGAACAGAACAGTAGTAAAATTGATCTTCTAAATTCAGTAGACTTTCCAAAATTGCCTAGCTACGATCCTCACTATGCTATCTAGAAGAGTTCTAAAAATTATACTTACACAGAATTTTGTTACTGTGGTTTCCCTTGTATGTTTAACAAATTGCCAGTGTATAAAATAGCTTAAACATCTTCAAATGTGAAGTATAAAATAGAATTTCGTCAATTCAGACAAAGTGCTCACACTTATAGTTTATGGAACAATATTTGCAAACCTTCCTACTTTGAACTATTATGGTTCAGTTCCTTACTCTCTATAGAGTTGGTTACCCAGATGAACTTGAGTAAGTAGTAGGAACAAATGTTCTTTACACTTTGTATTCAAGTAGAACGCATTGATGGATGCAGCTTAAAGCATAATAACTTCGACAACAGTACCCCAGTGTTGATATCTTAGTAGTAACTTTTTCCACTAGATGTCTGAACCGAGTAACTACAAACCTGACCGCTGGATTATAGCTACTTAAACAGAATCACGTTTGCACCTCAAAATATCAGTTATTTGTTCGAAGGTAGCTATGACTTGTGTACCAAGAACTGATGCACTGAATAAACAAGCATTCATACATACTATATTATTATTATTATGTATCCTTTAGTTCCTAGAGGAACATAGGGCTTCAGCTGCGCACCTCCATTGACTTCGGTTTTCTGACAACTTTTTCACCCTGCTCCAGGTCTGTCCACATGCTTTCATCTCCTCCTCGCATGACCTCCTCCAAGTCACCCTTGGACGACCAACTCGCCGCCTCCCTTTCGGGTTCCACTCGAGGGCTTGTCTAGTGATGTCACTTGATGGTTTCCTCAGCGTATGGCCAATCCATCTCCATTTCTTTCTGCCTATTTGTTTCACAATCGGTTCCTGATTGGTTCGCTCCCAGAGATCCCTGTTGCTGATCTTTTCTGGCCATCTGATCTTGAGTATTGAGCGGAGACAGTTGTTAATGAAGGTTTGAAGTTTGTTTGAGATGCTCTTTATGACTCGCCAAGTCTCTGATCCGTATAGTAGCACTGACTTCACATTGGAGTTGAAAATCCGGATCTTATTTTTGATGCTGATTGCTGTTGACCTCCACACAGATTTGAGAGTAATGAAAGCTTGTCTTGCTTTTCCGATTCTGGCTTTGATGTCCTCGTCAGTTCCGCCTGTAGTTGAGACGATGCTTCCCAGGTAGGTGAAGGAGGTTGTTTCTTTCAGGTTCTTCCCATTTATGCTTATTGTGGTCTGTTGTGTTGTTGATGTTGGCTAGGAATCTTCATATCTCTGTTTTATCTATGTTCACGTGAAGTCCTATCTTTGATGCTTCTTCTGCCAACTTGTTACTTTTCACTTGCATATCTTCCAGTTTATGGGAAATCAGACATATATCATCGGCGAAATCCAGATCCTCCAAGTCTTTTGTGTCAGTCCATTTTATGCCTGTTCCCTCGTTGGTTGCCGTTGTCTGTCGCATTATCCAATCAATTGCAATCAGGAAGATCATTGGTGATAGTAGACAGCCTTGCCTCACTCCCGTCCTCACTTCGAAGGCTTCCGTAAGTTTCCCGTTGTGGATTACTTGGCATGCAGCATTGTCGTATAACTGTTGGATGAGGTGTATAATTGTCGATGGGACCCCGTAGTAGCGAAGTAGTTTCCAAATGACCTCTCGATCGACGCTGTCGAAGGCCTTTTCAAAGTCGATGAAGTTGAGATAGAGAGGTGACTGCCATTCCAAGCTTTGTTCAATGATGATCCGTAGAGTGGCGATTTGATCAATACATGATTTGTTTCTCCTGAATCCAGCCTGTTCCGGACGAAGTTTTTCATCTAGGGCTTGTTTGATTCTCTCCAGGATGATGCGACTTAGTATCTTGCTTGGAATGGACAGAAGCATAATTCCACGCCAGTTTTTACATTGACTTAAGTCTCCTTTCTTTGGAAGTTTGAATAAGTAACTGTTCTTCCAATCCTCGGGTACTTTGCCCTCTTTCCACACCTTCTCCAGTAGTGGTGTCATCAAGTCCGCTGTTGTCTCTGGGTCTATTTTCAAAGCCTCTGCTGGGATTCCATCTGGTCCCGGTGTTTTCCCAGTTTTAAGCATCTTGATTGCATTCAGGACTTCTGATTTCGTCGGGGGGTCAGTGTTCACTGGTAGTTCTGCTTCCGTTGTTGGTATTGCTGGACGTGTTGTAGGTGGCGGACGATTTAGAAGTCTTTTGAAGTGTTCAACCCAGTGCTTTCTCTGTTCCACCTCTTTGGTGATTGACTTTCCATTGTCGTCCTTTATTGGCTTAATCTGTGTCGAACGTTTGCCCGAAAGGTTCCTAGTTGTTTGGTAGAGTGTGGCGAGGTCTCCTTTGCCTGCAGCTTGTTCTGCTTCGTTTGCCATGGTTTCATAATATTTTCTTTTGTCTTCCCTGGCACTTTTCTTCACTCTTTTGTTCAGTGTATTGTAGCTTGCATTCAGCTCCTGTTTTTGTTGCTCGTCCGTGCACTGGATAATCTTTTGCTTCACTGTCCTTCTCTCTTCTATTAGTTTCCAAGTGTCCGTAGTGAGCCACTGTTTGTCCTGTCTCTTTTTTCTGCCTAGAATTTCTATGCAGGTTTGGCTCCACACCGTTTTCAAGTTGTTCCAGTGCTTTTCAACGCCGACCTCTTCGCTAGTGTTGATTTGTGTCTCGCTTTGTCCTTTATGCTTGCAATGAAGATGTCCTTTGTAGCCTGGTCCTTCAGCTTTTGAGTGTTGAACTTGGCTTGTGGTCTATCTGCAGCTCCTGTGTATTATCTGTCAATAAGATTGTATTTTTTGGATTCAGTGTTCGAAAGGTTAATAATTGTGATACATACATACTAAGTAGATGGAAACAAGGTGGGAAAAAGATGCTTTCAAAGACAGATTCAGTAAACAACCCGTCTGAGAAAACAATAAATAAGAGAGTATAATAACACGTGATTGGCTATTATTGGGCATTCTTGACAACAAAATAAATGATATAAGTGGTGGAGGAAGCAGATTAATGAGACGTTTAACATGCGGTTAATAAACAACAGTGAATACTACTGAACTGAAAGGGTATTACTGTTTATCCCTTGCTCTTCGAGTAAAAACATTGTGCAAGCTAAAAGTGTAGATTCGTCTTATTTTACCTGCATATTAAATAGGAGGCCGTACAGTTTTGGAAGAATTTCACAAATATTTTGTCTTTTTTCTAGTGGCATGAATATAAGAGACTGTTGAAAATTCTGTCCCCAAGTATTCATGAGACCCTTCAGTAGACTAGTAAATTCACAACTTGTTGTCTGACTGGTAATAAAATATACGCTAGCATGATACTTTTTCCTAAATACCTGAAATACTAGTAAACTAGGTGCCACTGGAGTAATTAATGATGGAGTTTTCAAAACAGTACAAACTGGTAGTAATCCAGCTCAAATTCCTTCTAATTTGTCGCCTATTTGTAACAGACGCAGACTTTTGGTTTTGAATGCTGACAAAAATTTATCTGCTCTGTACCAAAGTGAAGACAATGTAACATTGTTATGCCTCGTGACGCAATTTAACTAGATTACAACAGACTTAAAAGCGTTTTTCTGACACATCAGTAATCTGTACATAAAACCTTGAGAAAACTTAGGTTTCATCTACTTTGTGAGTCTCAATTAATCGAGTCTCAATAGATTAATAACGAGGCCTTAGCATGCAAGAGTTTTATTATGGAACAGGTTCTTCACTTTGTTACAAATTTTATTAAACAGAAGTCCCTATATGAACACGATGTAATTGGAACGTGACAAACAGTGATGGTAATGATATCTTGACTACAAAGTAACGGGAATAACTTGATTGCTTACGAAATAAAAACAATTACTTCGAGGAATATATAAGACCAATTTTCGCCCCAGAAATTAATTTCACTAAATGGCAACAACCCATAAGCGGAAAAGTACTTAATTTTAAATAACAAATAGCTCTAGTACCACCTAACTACTTTTCTCAAAATGATGAGATGTATAATTTTTCGAAAGAAACACAGAACGTTCATGAAAGTGACAAACTAGCAGATATACTGAGTCAAGAGGAAGAATAAGGCCGTTTAATAGTGGTGTTAAATGTTAAAAATGTAATTTTTACTGAGAACTTACACCATTAATTCCAGATAATTGCTGTCCAAAGTGTGGAATAAGTGCGACAAACAATCCCCATCGTAAATACGGTATTTGGAAGAAGTCTTTCATTGACAATTGATTGTCTCCAGAGTACTCCATATTGTGTTGAATTGAGTCTAGTTCCATTTGAACATCATAGTTTTTGCCTCTGAGAATCAGAAGGGCTGCAATATTATTAAAAAATAGTACAGGAAAATACCATCTCTTGCACCATCCTTATCGCCTTTGATCAAATATAAGTAACTTGGACTTTCAGGGCAAAACAACATACAAATGACATGCAAGAGACAAACAGGGGCACAAAGACCTAAAATTTAAGCACCAATGCAGTTATAGTTACCCAGTAAATACGGCCATAAAGTTTCTGTTCCCATGACTTGAGATAAACCTAAGATTTGAGATAGCAGAATGGCAAACACGATAACGAATTGATTCATTGTACCCGCTGCACCTCGAGACGACAGTGGAGCAATTTCTGACAGGTAGTTAGGAGCCACTACAGTATAAGCCCCTGAATTGAATTCCTGAATATATCAAAATTTATGCAATACCTGCCGAAACACCAATTATGAATCTGCCTAGTATGATAACTTCGAAGGAATTTACTGCCAGAGAAAGCATAATAAGTACAGATCCTATAATTGTCGGAAGTGAGAGAATCAATAAAGTCCTTTTTCTAAGGTGGCATATAACTTTTAATATAAAAACATACCGACCAAGCTTGTTCGCAATAATTCCACCAGAAAGGCCACCAATTAATCCACCAATTACAAAAGCGGTTACGCAGAATGACATGATTGTTCTCACGCATGATGAACCACATACGTAATTTTTGTCGTCGATTACTTTACGAGTAAAGTTTTGTATAAGCTTTTTGAATGAAAATTTTTTCCAATAAACTTACCGAAAGTGGAGCATTAATAACTCCCGTATGATATCCGAAAACGAAAGAGCTGCCTATGGTTATTGAAATGTACGTGAAGTACAAACGCCATGGAACCATGACAAGCAGAAACTTGTAAGAATTTTAAAAAACCGTTAAGGTGAATATATGTTCAATGTTTCAATATCCAATATCGTTTTAACGAGCTAGTATAAACCATTTTGATTTCTTTGTGCTCGCTTCTTGATTGTAAGGTATAGGTTCGTTAAACTTCTGCGTAGCTCGTCCCGCCACCCGACTATCGTAGCTTTGATTGACTCCAAAGGGAGTAGTGCTGGGATTAATTATATGTGGTTTGTAGTATGAGGTGTGTTAAGACTGTTACTACTGTGAATGGAGTTGACCTTTTCACCAGGCAGTCCTCCGGTATCGTCGTCAAAGGAAAAGAGATAATAATAGATACGATTGGTGAAGTAATTCAGACTAACAGACAGAAAAAGCAATAAGAAAACGTAACAACGGTCAGCAGATTAAATTTGAAGAATAATATGAATAATATATATCGGTAATAATGACAAAAATGATAATAAGTGTAGCTGAGGTTGTCAGGGGATTAAGACGTGAGATAATATAAAGAAGTAAAACGACAAGTTTAATTGTCTACCCCTGAATGGTGTATGCGATTTTAAGGGAATGGGTCATTTGGATGCAGTCCTTGTGTCGCTGCACGGTTGTCCAGCCTTCGCTTAAAGGTGTCCACAGACAGTGTCATAGCTACATCTACCGGCAAGGAATTCCAGGGACGGCAAACTCGCAGTGAAAAGAAGTGGGAGCACTGCCGGTTCCTTGCACTCTGGTGAGCTATCCTTCTGGGATTACCACGAGGGAGCCTATACTTAATCATTGGCAGAACATCTTTGTTTGGGTGAATCCTGTCATTCGTTATTTTGTAGGCAGTAATTAAATCCCCCCTGAGACGACAGTAGCTAAGTGTGAATAGGCCTAATTTCTTCAGCCTTTGAACATATGGTTTATTTCGGAGACCAACCACTCCTTTTGCTGCCCGTCGTTGGAATCTTTCCAAGAGGCTGGCGTCTCTTCTAAGCGGTAGGGGTGCAATAATATTATGCAATTCAAGGTGTGGTCCGACGTATGTTTTGTACAACCTTAGAGAGAGGTCAGGAGTGAGGGCACCTAACTGTCTATGTGTAAAGTGTATGACCGCATATGCCCTCGCTACCTCCCCCGTGTAATTTACGCTTGTGTCCATTTTCTCCGTTAGAACTAGACCTAAGTCGCGTTCCGACGTTGTGCAGGATAAGCTTTCGTTGCACAAGATGTAACTTGCATTCTGCATTCTGCAGGTGCGTAGCTTCACTACTTTGCACTTTTTCAGGTTGAAAGTCATGCCACTGGCCACCCCCCAGTCTTCCAGAAGGTTTAGATCTTCCTGCCTACCTGAGTCCTCCTAACACTTTATCGCCCTCCATGTCTTTACGTCGTCAGCGTATAGAAGAGTCAGGCAGCTTAGATGGCATGGTAGATAACTGATAAAAATCAAAAACATCAGTGGTCCCAGGATAGAACCTTGAGACACTCCTGATGACCAGCCGTGCCAAAATGATCGAACTCGATTGACCTTAGTGCGAAATTGCTTTTCAGCTAGGTAATCCTTTAACCATAACAGAAGTGGCTTACCTATACCTGCCTGGCTTATTTTGTGTAGGAGAATGTCACGGTGAACAGTGTCAAATGCCTTTGCAAAGTTCAGGAAGACCACATGGACTGGAACATTCATATACCAGCATGATGTCCAGTCGTCCTGAGCTGATAGTAGGTTGGGAACGCAGGATCTGCCTTTTCTGAAAACTTATAGGGCTTCATGCAGTATTATAACAATGTATATTTTTACATAAACATATAAATTTACACGAAAATGCATGCCATTTTTACAGTCACGATCAAGTATGATATAATGTCAAATCGTAGATTGTCTACAAGTTAATAATCTTTCAACAGTTAAATATTTGATATATATAAATACACTCATTGTCTGAACCAGGCCGCATAGTTATTGAATTGTACACTTGTCCTCCAGGTTGAGCGGGAAAATCGACTTCGTTTCGTTTTCATCCCGTGGTTGCAGGCATACGATAACCAACCAATATTGAGGTAAGTACAACTTTTACAAGGGATTGAAAGCTGTTTTAGAAAAGTAAAAGTACTAAGGTGAATCCTTAAAGTGTAATGAAATAGGTGAGTGCAAGTACCATTAATAAATGCATTAATAAAGAAACTCCCTAGGCTGACAACGTTCATTTGCAATGTATAATGCTGCCAGTGTAGTTCGTACTATCATGACGTCCACTTTTGGCTTTATTACAACTATCCTCAAGCCGGTTGTTTTTATCTTATACCGTTCGTGCATTTAGTGCACAACCGTACCCCACAGAGAATAGAAATAGAATAAGTCGAATCGAATTCATAAAGAGGTATAAAATGTTGGGTTTAATGGAGTGTAATGAGGATCAAGTAAAGGCGTTATCAGAAAATGAATGAGATGAGACATTGTGAAGTGGTATTTAAAGATCTGACAATGGAAAGCAAATTAATTTCTAAGCTCTAGTGGTGAGTTTATGAGTGTTAACCTTGAGAAGGTAGTTATGGTAGCGTAGTCCATACGATTTAAGATTAGCCCACGTTATGGATGAGTCACTGTTACAGTGCTTTCTTATAACTTTGAATAAGAGAAATAAATTGCACTTCACTCTCTTTAACCATAGGGGTTCTAAGTCCAGCCGAATACATCTGTCAATGTATTCTGTTTGCTGATTGTCAATCACGTCTCATAAACCGTTAATGCCCAGCTCTCGCTACGCTCGGGCCCACGCTGTTCTTCGAAGATTTCTCAGAAACGCTTAGTTATAACGGACGCAAAAACCAAAACACTGATCTGCCGCTTTAGATTTGTTTATTGTTACACCAACATATAAAAGGAATAAGCGAACTAAGTAAACTAAGGTCTGAAAACAAATATTACAATAATAAATCTCTGTATTACTTCTGACGATGTTTCACTCTTCTTTCTGAACAGCGACCGATGAGACGATGACTGTCGTATTGATGCCTCCGCGAAAATTGGGAAGTTGATTTTAAGCAAACAACCAACAATTGATCGTTCAATCTTCAACTCCATTGACACTCCCAGGCAATAAAGGGATCAATCCCTTTTTTCCTTCACGACCAATGCACGTTGACTTGGATGCCATGGCGAGAACCTGGGTCACACGGACAGAGCTGAAATGGAAAACAAACAGAAAAGCCAACACACCACAAGCATACCCACAGCACAATCTCACACATCAATGACGACCTGCGCGTCCAGACAGAGACCTCCTCTTGACATCTTGCAACACAATCGCCATTTGCTAGAATGACTCTTGCAGAATGCAAAGTGACCATGGCAGGACCTCACATACTCTACGAACATCCTCTTATCTACTCACTACCAATTACCACTGCAATCGCTTGTCACTCATTCTGCCTCAGTTCTAGTAGCGGTGACGCATGCGAGCCTCAGTCGTTTACACTCTTTCTCCCCGGCGTGTCGGACCGCAGCTAACAATTATCTCCGTGTGCATTTCATTCTCAGCAATAGCCTAGCCTCCCCGGCTATACGACCCATCTGCTGTCTTTAACATCAATCAATTCATTCACGGATGTAGAAGAGTGGACACAACTTCAGAAGTAATCACGACGAAAATTTTAAAAAATTATGCAATAAAAACAAGGTACGAAAACAACCAGTAAACACAATGAATTCAAATAACACCAATTGATATGACAACAACACGTATATACAAACAGTACACACAAACTCGCATTTCATTTCTTGATGGAATACCCTTGAAGAATTGCAGGACTTACAGCAGTACGCCTACAACCCTTCTCAGGTTGACGCTCTAGGTTGGAAAATTGTCGCAGAGTTCATTTGCTAACTTCCTTCTATGAGCTATATCCTCAAATCTCAACGGCAACACGCCCATGTCATTGTATCGTAGAATATAGATGACCAACAAACACACGACGTATCTGGTCAACCAAGTAGAAGCAGAGTAATTTACACCAAAGATAATAACATTCAAATAGTAACTTGAAACTAGAAATGCCTTTATTCGTGCAAGTCAATTTAACAATTACTCTCTCCTTTACACTTGGCTTATCCACACTAAACTGACCATTGATATTCGTCCTTTCAAACGAACTGATACTACATAGTCATTGCACAAGATACTTGAGTTGATGGGTTCTGTTTCATTGTGGATGACAGCACCAACGATGACTGAGTGACACAAGGTGATGAACTTAGTGGTGGATCAGAAGCTGTTCTTTTTCGGCTTTCAGATAGTTGTCCAACTGCAAGATTACCACCACTGCTGTCTTTCACTACTAGTTCGGGTTTAGCACTATCATCTGATGATAGGTGGGCTACATGCTGATCAATTACACTGACGGTCTCACAAGTATGCATGCCTTCTGCAACTGCACCTGCATTTATTTCTACTTCACGTTCAAGTTGTACAGAACTTTTATTTAACTTAGCAGTAGTAGGCATATCCCTCATCTCATCATGATCAACCAAAGACAACTGTGAAGTATCATGATCATTATCACGAATATTCACTTTACCGTCAACTTCATCATTTTCAAACTCTTTAATAACAGAAGTAGACAATTTTGGTTCCTCCTCACAAATCATTAAAGGTTTATATCTTCACTCTGACTAGTTATACTTGTAAACTTGTGGAGTCAGAACTGGACTCTGAAGCAGTAACTCTATTCTGTGACACTCTATTCAACAACGGCTTATCAGTTGCAACTACAGATTTCTTCGCAACACCGTTATCGTCACACAATTCGGAGTCAGACCTGGAGTTTACATTTAGCTTATCACTGAACTTGCTCACCGGTTCACAGTTCACTTCTGTATGCACCTCTTGCAAACGTGTAAAAAAAACCGTGTTTGTCTTGCATCTTGTAACCTATCTGTTGAGGATGTACTACGAAACCTGTTACACTCACTAGGTCTATATGCATTACTAGACATCATGGAGCCTCCTCGATATCCACCTCTCTGAGGCCTACTCGTCATCAATGATTGCGTTTTTCCTCAGACTGCTCTATTCTAAGGGTGAGATTAATATACTGGCAAACTTGCTCATAGATTGATTGACACTAGTATT